TCAAGGGTATCCCAATATTCTCCGTTAATAAGGCCTCAATCGCGATTTGAGGGGTGTCAAAATTTTAAATCGTGAATATCTCATGCTGAGTGTTGTGTCATTCCAGTGCATCTCCATACAAATTCAATAAAAGAACACAGCCGCATGATACCTTAACCCAATGACGTTTATATAAGGTCTGGGCCAAAGGGCTTATTGGTGTTAGTGAAATGTGCAAATGGTTAGTGGTGTTCGTATTATATTGCAATGTTTATCACGAAACAGCTGTTGGCAGTGACGTACTTTTATCTGTTCTCAGTATGTCGGCAGTGACGTACAGTATGCCAAAAAAGTTTATCCACCCCCTAACAAACTTACATTTTTTTTTTGTTTTTCTGGTGAAAATCAGTTTAATTTTATGAGTGTTCCTCCACGATTTATCAATTTATGTTTATTTATCACATTGCCATTGAAAATACGGCGTATATATCTTTTTTTGAGATTTCATGTGATAAATTATGAAAAATTTGTTACCAATTGCTCTGGTAACATGTCATTCCAGTTACGAAGTCCACATGCATGTTAATATTCTTCTTGGTTTTTTATTCATCTTATATATAGACTATTTGATTACATTCGTTACGCTTTGTTCATGGCTCGTTTTAATATTATTATTGGATTATTTAAAACAACAATAAAAGTATCACGATGAATTAATGGAAACAAAATAATGAAATGCTTTGTAAATTAGTGGTTTTTCCATCATGGGATTTGGCATCTCCTCGAGTTAGAGTGAATTCGATGGCTTTGCGTGACAATCGAGGAGGCACTAAATTATAAAAAAAATAACTATTTGTAGGGCGCCCATGGCTATACAAAAAATGGTGAAAGGACACTTAACACAAACTGAACTAAAACCTAAATAAATATCCTTACAAATAGTCAACCAGCACCAAAAATAAAAACATTTGTGAACCTTTGCATGTAGGACAACATATAACAACCAAAAGAAAATAAAACGATGAAACAAACACACGAATATAAAGTACGTGTTCTTAGTTTGTTCCATCATTCACTTATGTAAATAACAAAGAAGACGGCAAAGCTCCGCAACTAAATTTTACAACCCTATTAAAATTTACTAACGCCTGGACTGTTGGCATCTCTACCTCATCATTGCCGAATTTGAGAGGATATGGATAATCGCTAATCCACCGCTTCGGGCGAAAAGCGATTTCGCCGCATCGAGATCGAGATAATGGATAATGAGAAAGGAAAGAGGAGGAAGGAAAGAGAGAGACCAGTGGATTTTGGATGCCCGACCAATTAAGACGTCAAGAACTGTGTAAAATATCGAGTATTTTTCTCTCCGAGTGCGGAAAATTAAAGGTCTTTGAGACCGACCGCGAGTGTATTCCGCCGCGTTTGTGACCTCGGTGAAGAACACGATCAGCGAGTTTCTCCTGTTACCGAACCAGCCGTGTTACAAGGCCAGCAGTTGCCACTTTTTACCCGCTGCGTGGTAGCCGCGTTTTACCGGCAGGTGCCAGCTGTTTCAAGTTTTTGAACGAACGGACGACTTCTGAGTATCCTCGTGGTTCCGGGTCAGACAATGCGGCTACCCCACGTATTCCGGAACATTGAACCCGTTCCCAGCCACGCCAGTCAAGTTTAGAGCATCCGGCGGGACAGAACAGAAGCATCCCCGCGTCGTAGGTTGGGTGAACACGTGACTACGACACGCCTCCGGCTCCGCCGGCCAAGATCAAGTGTCCCAAGGATTTTTGAGGACAGAGAACCACATCCCGGCCGCGTGAGAAGTGCAGGAGAACGGTACAACGACACGACGAAGACCCTTCCATCATCCTGATCTCCGACGTACGAGACGGGCTAGCCAGTGGCCAACGAGACCCCCTTACTATCGTTGTGCCACACGCGTTCGGTTTGGTGAAACGGACGTTTCTGAGGCAGAAGTACACCCTCATAAACGCGAACCATAAATTGACCTTACCTAAAATGGTTAAAAATGGTTTATAATCCCTGCTAAACTTTAACTGAAATGGTTATGGAACTTTACATGAACGTTTAATGATAAAGTTTCAACCTTATGTATTATGGTTTTTTGGAACTGGACCTTACAAATAATGGGTTGTTAAGAACCATTACCATTCCAAATTCTTGTTTTCTCCATACATTTTCAGAAAGAGAACTATATAAGAACGTTTTTACTTATGATTTGAGAACATTAATGGTAATGGTTATGGTAGTCAGTAAGGTCCATTAATGGTTTTGTATTATCGCTCAACTTTACGTGGAATATATCGTGAATTGGTAATCAGTAAATTACAGGCAACCAATTCGCGATATATTCCACATAAAGTTGATCGATGTTACAAAACCATTCGTGGACCTTACTGACTACCATAACCATTACCATTAAAGTTCTCAAACCATAAGTTAAAAGGTCCTAATATAGTTCTCTTTTCGAAAATGTATGGAGAAAACAAGAATTTGGAACGGTAATGGTTCTTAACAACCCATTATTTGTAAGGTCCAGTTCCAAAAAACCATTATACATAAGGTTGAAACTTTATCATTAAAGGTTCATGTAAAGTTCCATAACCATTTCAGTTAAAGTTTAGCAGGGATTATAAACAATTTTAACCATTTTAGGTAAGGTCAATTTATGGTCCGGAGGGTTCGCCCCCGCTTATTGTTACTGATGCCGATGAGTTTCCCATCCGTCTGCGGGCTAAGGTAGAGCTGCAGCCAACATCCGAGGATCCTGCGATCGATTTTCGTGGACAGCACCTAACCTCGAACAGCTCTACTCTTCCTTCCAAGCCCCTGCAGGGCAACAGGTATGAAACAGAACCCTCCTTCCTATCTCTCCGCATGTAACCAAGGGCCCCAACGTTGCAGATCGGCCGCACCGGTACCATCCCCTTTATGTGATATGTCCCTCAATAAAATTTAAGAAAATGATATCTATTTTGTATGTTATTCTTTTGAAACTACACGAGCCCATGCATGTCGACTTAGGAAGCTGTGTTGTCCACTACGCTTTAGTGTTGGGTTGTGAGCAGGCATGGAAAATCATTTGCATTCATTTCGTGCATTCATTTACATTCATTTGCCTCTAACTTTTTTTCTTAAACAGCATTTCGCAAAATGATGTATAAGCTGTATAGTTATAGGTTTTATTATTAACTACAACTTTTGTTAACAACTAAAATCCGTATCTCTTATGCATGACGAACCAGAGCAAACAGAAGCCACTACTGTTTTTCAGTGAATGTATTTTACATTCACTGAAAAACAGTAACAAGTTCTGCCCGCTGTAGTTCGTGATGCATAAGAGATACAGATTTGAGTTATGAGCAAAAGTTGTAGCTAATAACAAAACCTACAAAAATTCCATACATCATTTTGCGAAATGCAGTTGATGAAAAAAGTTAAAGGCAAATGAATGTAAATGAATGTATGAAATGAATGCAAATGATTTTCCATGCCTGGTTGTGAGTCCTCCGAATAAGTGGATGAGCCGCCCTAGAGACAGATAAGAGTACCGGTGAGCTAGCCGTTTCTTACAAATTGTAAAAAAATACGCAAAAAAAGTTTATCCACCCCCAAACGTATACTATGACTTTGGTGTGTTTTACAGAGTTTTAGTGTGTATTCTGCAACTTTATCGAATGTAAACATTGTGTCTATCTGTCATTTAGTGCTCTTGAAGTTTTCGTGCTCAAAATTTTAGTTTCGTATTCAAAATTGGAAGTTATTTGTTGCAAAATGCCCAAAAACGACCAAATTTCGATCAGTATCCGAAATTGGATTATTGAACATCACAAAACTGGCAAAAGCTACCGTGATATTTCCGATATTGTACAAAAAGCGTGGTTCTATCTCACCAGCTAAGCGATCGGGGCGTCCTTCAAAGACAACTGACCGAATTGACAGAGCTATCGTGAAGAAGGCGGAGCTGGACCGGGGACTATCAGCTCCGAAAATTGCGAAACATATTGAAAGCGAGTTTTCCATTCAACTGCCATCACAATCCGTACGAAATCGTCTTCATAAGAAAAGTCTTCAGGGCAGAGTAGCTCTTAAGAAGCCATGATTATCCGCAAAAGAATTTAAAAAAAAAGATTGAAGTGGGCCCAGGACCACATTTCATGGACCAAAATGGTATCTGATGGTATGGTCTGATGGTATCAATGGTGACCCAAATAGCATTACTTTCGTCTCGTCTGACCAGATCACCGTATTCCAGTCATCACTGGTCCATAAAATGTGGTCCTGGGCCCACTTCAAACTTTTTTTTTTAATTTTTTTTGCGGTCAACCATGGCTTCTTAAAAGCTACTCTGCCCTTAAGACTTTTCTTATGAAGACGATTTCGTACGGATTGTGATGTCAGTTGAATGGAAAACTCGCTTTAAATCTGTTTCGCAATTTTCGGAGCTGATAGTCCCCTGTCCAGCTCCGCCTTCTTCACGATAGCTCTGTCAATGGATCAATGAAAAAGCAAAGGTTTTGACAGAACTGTGCTGTGGCTACCACAGTATTTATCATTTTATCGTCCATATACAGTAGCGCCAAAAGTATGCTGTGGTGGGTTCAAAACTTGGCCATCTAAAATGATCAATTCGGTCACTCATAAAATTAAACTGATATCACCAGAAAAACAAAAAAAAATGTAAGTTTGTAGGGGGGTGGATAAACTTTTTTTGCATACCTACTGTATATCTATCTGTTCGCAGATGTTAAGCAATGTTTACAACATTTTTGCTTCTAACACCAGCAAGCTTGCCTGTTGGCCCAGACCTTATATAAATGTCATTGACCTTAACCATCTGAGTTTTCCAGCACTCAGCAGTCAGTTTGAAACTTAGTTTTGAAAATATGATTATTATCTGACTTGCGACTTCCCTGATACTCGTTCAACTTTCACACAAGCTTCGATCGGAAATTTTTCCTCCATGATTTCTTTCCTCAATTAAGCGCACCACAGCTGAATGATTGATTGCATTGAATTATTTATTACTGCAAAATAGCTAGGTATTGTCTCACTAATCTTGTTGAGTTGTAATTTCCATATTTTGATACTTTTTTGCTATTTTGTTTTAACAACAGCGAAAATGTTTGAACATCCAGTGTAACGGTACCTAGTCACAATCTGTACCTCTTATCATTGGTTTCTGCAGTTAGTTGTTTTCTTATTCTTCTTTGGATCGGCATCAAGTAAGGTCCTCAAAGTTCTGCAGATGTCCGTTGTGTAAGTACCTACTAAAAAGCGTCACTCTAAACAGCGCCATCGTAGTTTATCACCAAGTTTCAGTTAGTTTCAGTAGTTTATTAGTTAGTGCTGGAGTGTTAAATAGATTTGTATTGATTTCATTTTAAATTTGGAATTACTGCTTCTGCTTAAAACGTAAAAAAATATAAAGATAAAACAAACTCCCATGTGTGTATGTCAGACTTGCGAATCGTTAGATTTTTTTTCGAGTTTTTGCCACACACTCACTTTAAACCGAGACCGCCTGGTAACGTAGAAGATGAGCGGGAGGCTTATAGGATCTCCAGATCACAGTGTCGAATTTCAGGGAATTTTTTCTGAAAAAAAAACAACGGGGTTTAAACGGCAGCGTTGCTTTACAGACAAAGAAGCTTACCCTCAGCTTCATCTCGATCCGATCGATTTCGCCACCCATCAAATCGACAATGTTCTCGCCGTGCTTCAGTAGGAACGCCTCCAATTCGTCGATCGTCTGGAACGTTTTGACTTCTTCCAGCAGCATGTTCAGGTCCTGCTTGTCCAGATAGACCCGCGTCAGTTCACGTCCATCAAAATCCATTTCAGCCTTGAATTGTTGGGACCAGGAATTTTTAAGTAATTGAAGCTTCAGATTCAGATTCAGCCTACCTTATATCGCACCAGCGAGTTTCCCATATCGATTCCTTTGACATCGTGAATGGCTCTGATCATAATATCGCTCTCCAGTTCAGCATTTATCCTGTCAAGATTCTCCTGCCGAATGGATCGTCCCACTAGAGCAGCAACGTTGGTGTAGATGATGAAGGATGCCACTCCGCCGAGCATGCAACCGACTAGCAACGAGCCCACGGCGTCCGGAATCGGTGAACCGGTGTAGGTGGACAGGCCCATGCAGGTGGCAGCCAGGGCTACGCTCAACACTGCCGCGGCATCCTCCGCTAAGACTACATTGACGCAAGGATCCTGCCCACGGACAACTACAAAACAAAATACCCTTCATAATCTACACGCAATAGTCAAAGAAAGCCCTATACCATAATCTTTAAAGCTCATTCCCAGTGCTTTTGCTCCGGTCCGGCAGCTATTGATGGCCACCAATAGAGTAGCTCCTTCGGAGACCAACGACCCTCCGAGAATGAAGAACGCCCAGAAGAAGTCATCCAAGGGATGCGGATCCACCAGACCCATTATGCCGTGGTAGAACGAAAGCCCTGTTCCGACGCAAAAAATTCCCACTCCGGAGATTAGCGACGATACGTATTTCATATTGGTGTAGCCGTATGGATGATCGGAATCAGCAATCTGCGTACTCTTGTGAATTCCATAGGCCAGAATCAACTGATTGATGGTGTCCGCCAGCGAATGAATCGTTTCGGCAAACATACTGTGCGAACCGGTATACAACCAGGCGCCAAATTTGAATATACAGTTGGTGGCGTTGCTGAAACGTTTCAAGGTCATTACAGAAATAAACAACTACATGAAATTCAAAACTTACATCGCAATAGCCGTCAGCACCACCTTTCCAGACGAACCAAACAGTCCCGGTTCCGAGTCCACAACATTCGTCCGACTTCCAATTTCCCTCCGGTAGTCACGCAACCTTCGTTTAACCGTGAAAATATCTACAAAACAAATCGATTAACCAATAAAGCATCATTCCGATCCAACCAAATCCTCACTTTGTTGGTGTCGCTTTTTCTCGATTTCTCTCTTGAGACACTCCTTCAGCAGATTCTCCCGCGAGCCCCACAACTCGATGGCCTTCGCGTCTACGTCCTTCCGCCAGTACACCGTGATGGGTGGTTCCTGTTCGTACGGGGATCTTCGTTTGGTCTTTGGCAATCCTTCCAAGTCCGACGGCTTCAGCAGAAAATCCGACATCGCCCGTACCGGAGTGATGAAGTTCCTCTCCAGCGACGACCGCGAGAAATCCACCTGAATACGCTTTTTCGCCAGCTGCCTGTTCTTTTCGGCAAGCTGCTTCTTCAAATCAGCTTCGGTCTTTCGACGTTTCTCTTCCTCACTGAGTTCTGATGTGCTTTGTTGAAGCATCTCTTTGGATCCCGCAGGATCAACGCTACCCTGAAAAAGATTGACTGCTTGGGGATTTTCAATTATCACCCCCTGCAGCTTGGAATCCGCCGTCGTGGTCGTCACCAGCAACTTTCCATTTTTGGTGTTAATCTCCAGGGTGTTCTCCTGGGTGGCTTGCTTTCCATCAGTCCCATCCTTCTTATCCTTTTTCGGTGGCGTCGATTGCGAGCTAAACGATAGCCTCGGAATACTGGGTAGCTTCTTATCATGTTTCCTTACATTAACTACAAACGTATTCGAAATCCTAGAATTACATAGCACCGATAGTTTCCGCAGTGCAAGAACCTGATTCCCCCGATGCTGGCAGAGCGCCAAATACGGTAAGAGATTCTGACGGGTTCCGATCACCTTGGCCGCATCCACCACGCGGAAGATCATCGCAGTGAGAACTTTCAAGCTGCCGGCCTAGCGAAACTGTTCGATCTGAATCGCCTCCGCTTGCGCAAACAAACGACCGGAACACAAGGGTTTATTTATATTCTTCCACGGGGAAATTTTGTATCGGAGAAAGCTGAAAGTGTCAATGGCAAATGAAGCATAAAAAAACCCAGTCACATCAGGATTTCATAGTTCATCACTGCGAAAACGGCTGCCAACAACGCACTTACCGGTTACTCCATGTTTGAACTCGGGAATCGATAATATTTCGACGGAATTTGGAAAATTTTCCAGTAAAAACACTGACAAATTACGAAGTCTTGTGCGTTGATTTTTGGCTTTTCGTTTTGCTCCCCACTTTCTTCACTGATTGACGTTTCTCTTCGGTCGATGTGTTGCTAAAAACCGATGCCGGTCAGCCAGCCACACTGAAGGAAAACGTCTGCCATACTTCGAATGATGCACATGATGAGCACACGGTATCCCGCATAAACGCGAACCATCACATGACCTTACCGATAATGGTTATAAATTGTTTATAATCCCTGCTAAACTTCAACTGAAATGGTTATGGAACTTTACATGAACGTTTGTGTGATAAAGTTTCATATATCATTACATTTCATAAGTTACATTATCGGAAAGAGAACTATATTAGAACGTTTTTACTTATGGTTTGAGAACATTAATGGTTATGGTTATGGTAGTCAGTAAGGTCCATTAATGGTTTTGTATTATCGCTCAACTTTACGTGAAATATATCGTGAATTGGTAATCAGTAATTTGCAGGCAACCAATTCGCGATATATTCCACATAAAGTTGATCGATGTTACAAAACCATTCATGGACCTTACTGCTTACCATAACCATTACCATTAATGTTCTCAAACCATAAGTTAAAAGGTTTTAGTATAGTTTTCTTTGCGAAAATGTATGGAGAAAACAAGAATTTTGAATGGTAATGGTTCTTAACAACCCATTATTTGTAAGGTCCACTTCCAAAAAACTATAATACTTAAGGTTAAAACTTTATCATTAAACGTTCATGTAAAGTTCCATAACCATTTCAGTTGAAGTTTAGCAGGGATTATAAACAATTTATAACCATTTTAGGTAAGGTCAATTTATGGTTCTCGCTTATGCGGGATTCGTAATATGTGTATTCTGGATCAACAATAGAAAAGGGCCCATCAGCATTTGTAAACAAACCGTTGCAAAGCCCATTCCTCACAAATCGAAGGCCGCCCACACAAACCAGCACCTTCATTGTGTAGGTAGAAGTTTCCCCTATCCGATGATGAAGAGAATCGATCATCGCGTATTCGCCCTTATGCATGCTCACTGTCGATATATTTTTTCCTCTGTTCGGGACATACACTGTACACAAACATCGAATGAAACCTCAGTACATTCAAAACGAAACATCGAAATCGCTTTTTCGAATAATAGCTGCAACCGGATGACGGTTGTTTTGAAATCATATGAAATATGAATATTCCTTGTTTCAAGTTCATCCTCGGTGGACAAAACCGAGTATTGCCACTATCAACAAGGCATAAAAAGTAACAAGGACTAAGATGCGTTCCCTTGATCATGCTTGACATACACACTCATGGTCACGAACTGCTCATTTGCTAATAACTTTGCACACAGTTGACGAAACATAGTTCTTTTTGAAACAATAGTTGAATAGAATAGAGTTGAATCTTTTTATCTTTTAATCTAAGTGTAAAAATTCAATGGTGTTGATTCAAATGTTTAGATTTACCGAGAGATTTACCTACTCTTTGCATATACATAGTGAACTATGATCCTAATCTATCAATTAACCACTTCAAGCTGACCTATGAAATAATGATGTAATAGCAAAAAGCAGATACAATATTACATCAATGGATGTAATTTTGTTCGCAAAATCGATATACATCGTACAATGTGATATTACACAAACGATGGATTGACCTGGTTTTTTTATCTAGTTCGTTTATTTGTAAGGCTCAATCGCGTTAGCTTTACGGAGCCGATAATTCATTGTTCTTTGTTTGTAACAAAATTCACTTAATTCTATGCCTAGTAGGAGTTGGGCCGAATACTCGCGGCTTACTCGAGGTTAGAGGGGTACATTGTCGAAGGATAGGAAAAGGGGAGGAGCTTGGGGTAGGGTTTCGTTGTCTCATCAGAGCGATGTCGCCAGTATGAATGGTAGTGTGGTTCTAGATTCGTCTGGAGTTCGACCGGCTATGGTGACCAGTGGGCGACGATGAGACTCATCGAGACGGGGGACAAGACAAACAAAAACTAATAAAGAGATACAAAAGACAAACGAATTAAATTCTTATACTAGACATTTGCAGAAACACATAAATCGACTGCATATAGCAGAGATCGCGGGTACCCAACACGTCTCTGATAGGGATATAGGGTTGTCTTCCTTGGGCCTCGAGGGTATTCAAAAGTCGCTCTCTGGCGGCGTCATTATCCGTACATTGCCAAACTGCGTGATCGATGTCATCGTAACCGTTTCCAGACCGACAGATGTTGCTGTCCACGAGGTTTATTCTATTGAGATGAGCATCTAGCGAGTAGTGGTTGGACATAAGTCTACTCATCACGCGAATGAAGTCACGACTTAAGCCCAAGCCTTTAAACCACGCTCTCGAAGAAACATTAGGAATAATTGAATGTAACCACCGTCCAAGATTTCCAGTGTCCCAATCGGTTTGCCAACTCGAAAGGGTACTCTGACGCACTAAATGGTAAAATTCATCGTGTGAAATTTGCCTGTCATAAAATTCGCCTTCCTGCGCGCCCACCTTTGCGAGAGAGTCCGCCTTCTCATTGCCTGGGATTGAGCAATGTGAGGGGACCCATACAAAGGTAATCATATATGATCTTTCGACCAGCACACACATCTGCTCCCTTACCTTTGAAAGGAAATAAGATGAGTGCCTACCTTGTTTCATCGACCGAATAGCCTCAATCGAACTGAGACTATCCGAGAAGATGAAGTAATGGTCTGCGGGCATGTTGGAAATCATCCCCAATGCGAAGTTGATTGCTGCCAGCTCAGCAACATAAACAGAACAAGGTTCCTGAAGTTTGCGGAAGGCGCTAGAGTTTTCATTGAAGACACCGAAGCCAGTGGACCCATTGAGACGTGACCCGTCTGTAAAATATCTTTTCACGCAATTGACGTGTTGGTACTTTTCAGTAAAAATACGCGGGATTATAATAGTTCGAAGTTGATCTGGAATCCCATGAATCACTTGTTTCATGTACAGATCATATTCAATTGAGGAACTGCGATTGGTGAAGTGAGCACGGTCTGGAGTATAACAAGGAAGACACATATCCGACGATATGTAGTGGTGGTAGATTCTCATAAATCGAGATTGTGTGTTCAGCCCAAGAATTTCTTCAAAATTTGCAATTATAAATGTGTTCGTCACTCCGCATTTGATTAGTATTCTGAGAGAGAGCTCCCAGAAACGGTTCTGGAGGGGTTTTACTCCTGCCAGAACCTCGAGACTCATGTTATGCGTTGAGTGCATACAGCCAAGAGCAATACGCAGACAACGATATTGAATTCGTTCCAATTTTATTAGGTGACATTTTCTTGCCGAGAGAAAGCAAAAAGAGCCGTACTCTAGAACAGAGAGAATTGTTGTTTTATAAAGCGTTATGAGGTCTCCCGGATGAGCACCCCACCATGTGCCGCAAATTGAACGGAGAAAGTTGATCCTCTGCTGACATTTTTGCTTCAAATACGTAATATGGGTATTCCAAGTGCACTTTGAATCAAACCAGACCCCAAGGTACTTGAAAGACAATGATTGAGTAATGTTTCTGCCCAAAAGTTTAAGTTGCATTTGGGCTGGGTACCGCTTTCGAGTAAACACTACCAGTTCAGTTTTCTGCGGCGAGAATTCGATCCCTAGATTCCTAGCCCAAGAGGACAAGTTATCTAAGGAACTTTGCAATGGTCCTTGCAAGTCCACGGCATGTGGACCTCTTACGGAAACCACACCGTCATCTGCAAGTTGTCTTAGCGTGCATTGTTCTGCCAAACAGTTGTCGATATCTTTTACGTAAAAGTTATAAAGAAGAGGGCTGAGACATGAGCCTTGGGGCAGGCCCATGTAGCTAATTCTGGAAGTTGTCAGTTGTCCAAGGGAAAAGTTCATTTGCTTTTCTGACAACAAATTGTACAAGAAATTATTTAAAATTCCAGAAAGTCCACATCTGTGCAGATTGTCTGACAGAATTTCAATGGAAACTGAATCAAAAGCCCCCTTAATGTCCAAGAATACTGAAGCCAATTGCTCCTTGTGTGCAAAGGCCAGTTGAATATCTGTGGAAAGCAGCGCTAGACAATCGTTTGTTCCTTTGCTCTTGCGGAACCCAAACTGTGTATTTTATAGCAAGTTATTTGATTCGACCCAGTGATCGAGTCTCCGAAGGATCATTTTCTCCAACAATTTCCTAATGCACGAAAGCATAGCAATCGGACGGTATGAGTTATGGTCAGACGCTGATTTGCCAGGGTTTTTAATGGCTATTACTTTGACCTGTCTCCATTCAGGCGGTACAATGTTGTTTTCTAGCAAGGAATTGAATAAATCTAGCAAGCGTCTTTTAGCGATATCTGGGAGATTTTTCAGAAGATTGAATTTAATCATATCGCTTCCCGGTGAGGAGTTGTTCGATGAAAGAAGAGCCATAGAGAATTCCAGCATTGTGAATGGCCTATCCAGAGAGCTGCCGCTCGGAGACGCTTCTCGAAGAATGTGTTGTGCTGGAACTGAGTCCGGACAGACCTTTTTAGCGAAATCGAATATCCATCGGTTGGAGTATTCTTCACTCTCATTAGAAGATGAGCGGTTACGCATGTTGCGAGCCACCCTCCACAAGGTGTTCATTGAGGTTTCTCGTGAGAGTCCCTTGACGAAATTGCGCCAATAACCGCGTTTTTTTGCTTTGATTAATTGTTTCAGCTTTGCCTCAAGCTTTGAATATTCCTCGAAGTATGTGGAGGTTTTGTGTCTACGAAAAGCTTTGAAAGCATCAGATTTTTCTACATACAATTTTGTGCATTCTTCGTCCCATCCAGGTGTGGCTGGTCTCCTTTTAAAGGATGCACTTGGAACTTTTCTTTTTTGTGCTTCCAGAGAGCTTTTGTATATCAAATCGGTAAGGAACCGATATTCTTCCAATGGTGGGAGCGTATCTATTGATTCGATACCGATAGTCACCGCCGTTGCATATTTCTGCCAGTCGATGTTCCTTGTAAGATCAAATGGAACTCGAGTTGGTTCTGCAGATTGACGGCCACACTTAATT